CAACCATTTATAGCACCTAGCGCCATCTTTTGCAAACGGACCGAATTAAGTTGTACACCCAATAGATTTTTTAAAAATATTGTGTTTCCTCTATAAATATCTTCTAAACGAAAGAATTAAGAACAGCTGGTACTACTGGGAAAGTATCTCAGAAAAGCTCAAGTTTCTTTGAAGATAAGCGCGCGCGCGGTGTGAAAATCAGCGAATGATGAAATCAGCTCGTGTACGCAGACTCAATACTTGTACTTGTTTTTCATTTATTTCGTTTTTAGGATACAGTGAGTCTTGGGTAGTTGATCAAAGAGGAAGCTGATTTGATTAGGATGAGATTAATATTGCTATCAAAAGCTCGGGGAAAAAGGAATTCATTGTTCAGTTACTATTTCCGTGAGATTCTGCTTGAGAACTGGTTTATAATTTTAGCTACAGATTTCAAGGATATCACTTGGTCCTGATATTTTCCTCGATTTACTAAGTCTTTAAGATAAGTTAAAGTCAAAGAATTATTATTGGTTTCTTTCAGGATGAATCAAACACTATGAGAAAGAGGAAATGTTAATATGTTTTGCTCCGCTGATGACTGTCACGGTCCATAGAACTCCAGTGCTTCATCTCTTTTTTAAGGCTCGCCGACACTTACTAAGAGAGCTAATTCACCCCCTTCAAAATAGTGCTCGTGCTCTTACCTAAATCACAAAGCATAACGTGGTCTTTGCTGAAAAATTTATTCTTGATTTTACCTTTCAACGCCTTCCTGAAGGAGAAAGACGCAGAGCCATTTATCCCGCCCATACCAAAATGAAATTAACTTACCGCATTTTTACAGCAAAGTTGTTCACGTTTATTTGGTGTTCAGCAATTTACATGACAATGCTTAATATGGTTACTGACTTTTTTATTACAAATGAAATAATTTTGTGACAGACAAGGGCCTTACAGTATAAGTAGTGGTATTCTTTTTACATTTAGTCTAATTTGTAGCTAGCTTGGTAGTCTTCATCAATCGCTAGTAGCGTAGGTACCTCAGAAGCGACGATGTGTACGAATATGCATGAATGACATAAATTAACATCGTATCAAAGTGTTCAGTGGCTACATATTGAAAACTGATTGCTCATTTGGAAGATGTAGGTCTTCTATGAAAAAAGTGAAATTTTCTAAAAACGAAAGATCCTACATACTTTCATATTCTAGATTCCCAACTACAGTATCCCACGTGTTGGACCCGGTGAGAACGGCGAGGGGGTATACTTAGAAGGAGAAGAAAAGAAGATTGGCGAAGAACAAGTCAAGACCTTATTTATGAACGTTTTGGCAAGGTTGGTTTTGTTGTACTGATTTTAAAATCTCGAAGATAGAATTTGTTTATAGCGATAAGATTTCGCTAGATCGCAGTATTCCGGATTCGAGATCGCGAGAATGCTTGGCACTTGCTTATCCTAAGACTTTGCCTACTGCGTCAATCGTCATAATATTCACAAATGAGTTTCTATCTGGTAGGTTTTGATGTCAATGGGTTTTATTTTACGGAATACAAAATTTTTATAATTAAGTTACATATACGTTCTATCTTAGCTGTTCTTCGGACAGTACATTCGGTTGTCAATAGAACGCCACCGGAACTGCTGAAAGAGATTATACTTGTAGACGATCAAAGTGATAGAGGTCGGTTATAATGTAGTCACTTTATCAATTTACTGCTGCTTTGGTTTTAATGTGAAGAGCGGAAAGATTTTATTTTGGTCATGGATTCAGTTGGATTGAAAAAAAATCTTCAGAGGAACTCAGAGAACCTTTGACTGAACACTTACAACGCTTTGGTTCATTAGTGAAATTGATTCGATCCACTGAAAGACTCGGCCTGATCAGAGCAAAAATGCGAGGTGCCAGAGAGGCCACAGGTGACGTTCTCGTATTCCTCGACGCCCACTGCGAAGCAAATGCTGGATGGTGAAATCAAATCTTCCTAATTAGTCTGTGGGTCTGTTGAGAATTACTTTTAAGGGTCGAACCATTGTTAGCACGAA